TTCTTCAGGTTGGTAGGTGTCATAATATAACTTTTCTTCTTTTTCATCATCAACCTTCATATTATCTTTTTGGTATTTCTTGACTTCGACAAATGTAGGGCCATTATGAACTGACGGGCTAAAAATGAATATACGGGCGAAGCAGTCCCTAGAAACATTTAGGATAAGGTTTTGGATTAAAACTGTTTTGCCGCCCGTGGATGAAGCAACAACGATGGAGCGGAATGGTAGTTTTGGCGCGTGCTCATATTTAGATTGTTTGAAATCGTAATCAGTTATGTTTATTGGTTCTTTTTTTTGGACATCTGGCATAATAAAAGATATTAGAGTTATTTAGAAAATACTATATACTTATTATTTTATATGAATAGAAGTTATTCAGATTATCTTGATATAATAGATGAAGTAGAACATATAGAACAAGTTGTTATAACTGATAATAAAACCAAAACATGCTGTTATTATTCATTAGAACTAAGTAAGTTTGTGATGCAATATATCAAAAATACAAGTGTAAATAGTAATATAAATGGGAAGAAAGGAAAAGAAGTAGACAGAACCAGTTGTTTCTTCAACAGATGAAGAAAAAGAAGAATCTGTTAAAGAAACATCAGTTATTGAGTTTTCTTGTCCGATGTGTAAAAAGATGTTAGAAATGAAGAATGAATTAGAAATACAAAAGAAAGGAAATTGTAAATGCTCGTGTATTCCATAAGTAAAAATGATAAGAAAATAAAATTGATAAAACTAAAGACAGTATCAACTTAGAGACAGATGTTCATAATTTCGCTATCAAATGGGGAAGGCATGCATCACCATCCGATAAGGGTGATAACGAAACTCAGGAAACTATACGTGAAAGGATGAAAAATTAGTGTTTAAAGAGTAGATTTAACATAATTGCAACATTTAGTTTTCAAAGTTTAGTTTTATAATTTAGTATTTATATATATGGAGGAACATTTAGCGAACCTTGACAGTAGTTTGGAGTTGTTGTTTCCAAGATTAGAAAAAGTGTTGGAGCAAAATGAATACATACTGAGAGTCTTAAAGAGCATGAATATTAAACCTACATATAACAACAATAACAATTATCAAGCAAAATAAGTAGATAGAGACAGTAGCAAATACAAAAATAAGCGGCACATTTATGTTCAAAAACTTAATGAAAAAGTCATAAAAGAACCTAAACAACCAAGTTTGGATTACTATCAAGTCAAGTATAACGAAGACACCAAGAAATACGTTTAATCCTATTTAAAGAAAAGAATACTTAAACATAGATATGAGCAGATATGATAACGGTAAGATTTACAAAATTGTTGATAGTAATTTTCAGAAATGTATGTTGGAAGCACTTGTGAAAGTTTGAGCTAAAGAATGGCAAGGCATCGGAACAAATACATCGGAACAAATACCAACAGTGAGGAAAATTGTAAAATATACTTGATTGAAAGCTATCCGTGTAACAATACAGAAAAACTTTTAAGAAGGGAAGGTCACTGTATAAGGAATAATGACTGTGTAGATAAAAATAACAGTTGGAAGAACAAAGAAAGAATATCATGAAGAACATAAGGAAGAAAACAAGCAAAGATGTAAAGAATGGATGGCGAATAACCAAGAAAAAAGAAAGCAATATGTAGAGAAGCGAAAAGACATAATTAACCAATACAACAGAGAGTGGAAACAGAATAACGAAGAGCACGTCAAAGAATACAACAGAACGTATCGTGAAGAACATAAGGACAAACTAACTAAAAAACAATATGTAATGTGTGTGGTGCTTCAATACGAAAATACGATATTAAAAATCACCAACTGACTAACAGGTGTCAGTCGTTTAATCAACAAGTAGAACCTCATGCCGAAGATATGGTTTAGTTAAACCTTCTAACTTGTATGTTTTATTGCCCATAACATCATATTCAATCTTCTCAACTTCGAATAAGTTATTACTCCAACGACTGACATACTCCTTTCTGTCGGTGTAATTACCCCTTTCTTTTGGAACACTTTTACTTTGTCGTTTTCCTCTATTCTGGATACTTTCTTTTGTTCTTTCTTTTGTTCTTTTCTCGTAGTTTCAGATTGACCTTTACATTTATTTCATTGTCGTCCTTGTGTGCCTCGGTAGGTGTCATCCTTGTTGATGAGTGTGATGTGCTGTTATACTGTTTCAATGCTGGTGTTAGGGCGTCGGTCCATTTCATGTTGTTAAACCTAACTCTATCGTGAATTTTGTTTTCATTGTCGTAATAAAACGCTCGGCTACATTTGCGTGGGTCTTCGTGACGATGTGGTTTTTTCCTTCACTGTTGAAGAAATCCTGAACTTGATTTTTAGTTGCAAACGCGCCATCGTCATCAGAATACACGGACATCGGATAACCCATCTTTTTAAAACTTGCTCTCAACGCCTTCAAAACGTGCTCTCCGTCTCTTTCCTCCATCGGTAATACATCTGCTAATTTACTGAAGATGTCAATCACGACTAAAGCATACTGTGGAACGTTCTTGTCTTTTGCTAAAGGTGACATATGCACTATGTCTGTTTGATTTTCATTTCGTGCGAATGGAGCGGTATAGGAATTGGTGCCTCTATAATTTTTGATTTGTTTATTTGGTTGTTTCTTTAAGAAAGACTTTACATCGTCTAATGTTATTGCTGGGTCTTCTTCCTTTGCCTTCTTGTGTGTCGCTTGTGTGCTTCCGAAACCCTCGTCTAAGTCGTAATAGATGTTGCTGATTACTTGGTCTTTTGTTAATCTCGCCATTTATATTAAATTGTTAGAAAATAATTTTATCAACATAAACCCCCCACCTGTTAACATAAAGTAATATATACTTAAAGAAATAACACCTTATAATATTAGGTGAGAAAATGAGAAATATTAAGATTGAAGAGTTGAACTTAGAAAATGTCGGAGTGATTGCCGACTTATCAAACTTGACGCTATCAGACGAAGAAGATGATGATAATGACAGTTATAGAAAGGAATTAGCAGAAGTGTTGAACAAAATAAAGGATTTCATCAAAAGACACCCTTTGCCACCAGTTGATGAAAACGAAGAATTCTGGAAAGATGTCATTAACAGGTTTAGGGATAATAGCGGATTAAACTTGATGACAATATACTCATTTGTTAGGTTTGACATCATGAAAGAAATGTATGAAAACCTAACAGACGAAGACATCATAAAAGACTGTGGTAAAAAGTCAAACCGAGATGGAACGTTTGGAACGTTTAAAGCAATGATGATTAACCACTGTATCTTATCAGGTGCGATACGGACACTAAACAAAGAAGACAGTCTAGTAGATGGACAGATGCGAGTTATTGAGTTCTGGTGGGATGGAATAGGTGGATGGAAAGCGTGAGTGATTTAGTTTAATGATATTATTCAATTATAATATGATTCAACCTAGTTTGTATATTAGTTTGTTAGAAAATAAATTTCTCAACATAAACCCCCACCCCTTAACAAAAAACTACTTAAAGAAAAATGAATATATATAGTAAGAGAAAAAGCGACACTACTTGATTATGATAATTGTCCTTGTAAAAAAACTGTAAGTCTGTGGTAGCACTAGGTAGTATTTTACCTGTTGATGTTTGTAATCTTATTGGTGGTTATATTGAACCAACTTGCTTTGATTGTAGTGGTTTGTTGGACGCAGAAGAACATTTTTGTGAGAGATAAAGACATTCCTGAAGGACTGGAAAAAGCAGAACTTCAACTAAAAAATATTACAATAATGCAAAATAACGATATTACACAACTAGCAGAAAACCAATATAGTATAAAACAATACAGAAAACATTGACCGAGCATTTGATAAACAAGAAGCTAAAGAATGGTTTAAACAAAGAAAATGTATTATTAAGCATTAAAACCAGACTGTAAAAGTTACAGTCACGAAGTTAGTCTAATTTTGCGAAAATGTATTAAAATTGAACAATTAACATTTATGAAAATAATGATTTGAACTTTCCTAACCTAAACAGCTGGTGGTCATATAGAAATAGCTATTATATGAGAAACATATTAAGCGACTTAATTTAAATTTACACAGGCCAATCAATAAAAATATACAAGCATTATTGTAGTGAGTATAGTATGAGTTGTTATAGTGGTTGTATCGCTGGTGAGATTGAACACGGGACAAATTAGTTGTTGTTTCTTAATTTTATTATTATCTAATAGTATGATTAAACATTGTTTTATAATCTAACAAGAAGGTTAAGACATTTAAATTAAACCTGAATTGAAGGCGAGTGCAAGCATGAGCTAGATTTTCAGACGGTTTGCGTCGATGCCTCAGAGGACCTTCTGGAATTTTCTCACTTGGTACATGCTGGAGGAATGACTCAGATCAACAGTTCTTCCGGAAGCGAAACTTCTAGTGATTCGAGCAGTGAGACGGATGACAGCTCAAGCGAGAGTTTTGCAAATGCTTTGCCTGCACCTTTGTACACTGAGCAGGTTCCTGATGGAGTTGCCTTCTTCGTGCACAACAAGAGCAGGATTATGCACAAGGCAAAGCTTGGAGCAGGTGCTGCAACTTGTAGATTGCAATGAATGCAAATTTTCGAGAGACCGAACGAACAATGCATTTCCAGTATCCTAAGTGCATGCGTTGTTTTCCGAAGGATCACAACAGGTTCACCACAGCTGATCAGATAGCTGATCGTCTTGGCGAGTTGGCAGCCTTGAGGAAGTCCAGAGCTGCGGAGTGAAGACGGTGAGCCAAAAAGAGTGCCTCCCTTGCTTTACAAGCTGAGCTTGAAGAGGGAGATCGCCGGAAAGCCGGATTCACACAGCGGTTCCGGAAAGCCGGCGTGCTGTTGTGATAAGTGAAAGTTGATCAAAAGGGGCGTTCGCCCTAAGGGGAAAGCGGTCACGAGATCATGAGCTCAAGTTTTTCTGTGCAGGCATTTTGGCTGTTTCGCACACGTTCATGCTTTGACTTCAAAGCCTTGTGCCACAGTAGGAGCCATGAGTTTGCTTCTGGAATCAGAGGCGCAGTTCGCCTCAAGGGCGAATGAAATCGGCCTTTCGGATGAGGTGGTTCGGGCACTGAAGGTTGCCGGAGTCGGGAACTTATCCCAATTAGCCTTTCCAATTGGGCAGCCTGGACAACCCATCCATGCGGTAGAGGTCGACACACTTTTGCAGAATGCAGTGGGCCGTCCAGGTCCTTGCAGAAGCCACTTTGGTCAGGCGATTGGCCTTCGAAGCCCAGACACTGCTGGTGGCGAGCCTCAGGCAGATGGTTGAACAGAAGGATGATGGGGCTCCAAAGAAGATTGGGGCAGCTGAGCGTGAGTCTCGCATGGATGCGATTCGCTCCGAGCTTGGAGGCATTTCCATACAGGATGACAATGACCCTTCGCACGCGCTACTCGAGAAAGCGTGCCAGATTTACGAGACGAACGCCTTGAAGTACATTGAACCGTCGGCTGCGACCTCGCGATCTCAAGAAGTCCAAGGTGGGACAAAATCCAAGGAGTTGTGCTTTGAAGGCGGATCACTGGTCGTCAAGGACAAAGAAGACAGGACTCTGGCGCCCACATCCAGTGAGCTTCAGTTTCTTTACGCAATGACCAGAAGGGCAGTTGCATTCAAATTTGCAAGACTCATGAGTTTTGAGCAGCACAATCAGTGGATGAAATTTCTCCTCCAATCGATGCAACGTGAAGCGCCGCCTGGATACAGCAAGGCCTTCGCTTCATCAGATCATGTTGTGTGACAAAGCGGCATTCACAAGGCTGGCAGTCACCATGGCAAGTGTAAGACCCAGGAGCCATGGAACCTTTTTGGAGAAGGCCTTCTGGCATTGAGGACGGATCCAGCAGTGGCGTTGCACCTTGTGCCCTTGGCCAGGAGCTCAGGGTCAGCAGACAACGACAGAAGGACCGGGCCCTACCAGCGTCCACATTGGCAGCTACAGCAGCCAGGGGATGAGCAGAAGCCTTGGGACAAGAAAGGCAAAGGCAAGGGCAGGAGAGGGAAGAACCCACCATTGCCCGTGGAGCTGAAAGGAAAGTGGCACAGAACTTCTTCAGGAGAGCCACTTTGCTATGCGTACAACATCAATGGCTGCGATCAAGCAAAAGATGGTGAGAAGTGCCCAAGGGGTTGGCGTCTCTGTGCGGAGCCAAAATGTTTGCAGCCACATTGCCTAAGGAGCCATGTGAAAGCTTCGTGACGGTGTCAGAAGGACTGGACAGGGTGTGGTTTGCAGCAGTGCTTCATGATTGAACTTTTCTGCGGGACTGCCACAGTGTGTTCGGTCGCAAAGCAGCATGGAATGCTGGTGTACATTGCGTTTGCCAATTCCACTCGCTGCTTCTGAGCGGGAGTCAAGTTGTTGAGCCCCATGGGTTCTGCATCGGACCTCAGTGGCTCGGGTCCACCGTTTCTGATCTGTCTGGCTCGTGAGCGTGTTCCACACACAGGAGCCGCATGCGCCCAGCATAGTTGCTCTGAGTTGGTCCAGTGATGCAAGAGCTCCAAATCCTTAGGATTGAAAACGTCAAAAACTAGTATTGTCGACCTGGCACCTGCTTCTTCACTTTGTGCGAGCCTAACACGTGCAAGTATCTGGAGCAGTGCAATTCCAAGGGGATTTTGATTACTTTGGAGAATCCGACAAACAGCCTCTTCTGGAAGACCGCGCCTTTCCTAAAGTTGCAGGATGCGGTGCAACTTTTTCACAGTGATTCACAGATGTGCATGATGGGAGGCTCCAGGCCTAAATGGACCCGCATGCTTGCAAATTTTTGCGCTGTCGCAGAGTTGAACGTCGCATGTGACAAGTTGCATGAGCGTGCGCCGTGGGGCAGAACTCTCAACAAAGAGGGGCAGGAGGTTTTCGCAACCAGCCTTGAAACAGAATATCCACGTAAGTTTTGTGAGGCTGTGCTGCAATGTGTCATCAGACTGCAGCTACAAAATATGCAGCTGCCTCCCATGTCTTTGTTTGACCCCAAGGACAATCCTGAGTTTGCAATGCAATCGGCTCGCATCACTGCCGAACAGCAATCCAGGCGGAGCAGACTGCCTCCGCTTATCCCAGACACCTGCTCTGTAGGGGTGTTCTTAGTGAAGAACCCAACTGAGGTACCGTAGCTCCTCAGCCGGCTGACTTCAGATCTTCAACTGTTGACCAAAGCTGGCCTTTGGGAGACGGTGCCTAAACGATCAAAGATTTTGAGGCGATCTGCAACAACTTCCCCCTTTTCCCTTGGGGGTCTGGTCCAGGGTGACGATTGTTTTGAAGTTGCCTCCGGTCTTTCTTGGACCATGGAGGGCTTCATTTCAAAGGCTGTGGAGTTGGGACACCCCGCCAATTTCTGCAAGATGGTGACGCGGGATATTCAAGAAGCAATTCGTTTCCACTGCACACATTCAAATGCTGAGATATCAAGCGAGCCGCAGAACTGGATAGGCGTGAGAAAAGCCTTGCTGGAAGCCGAAGTCAAGCAACTGCAAATAAACGGCTTGCCTTGGCCCGTGAAATTTTGGAAAGCATCGGGTATGAGGACATAGATGCATTGAAGCTTTTAGAGTTGGGATCTCCACTGGCTGGTGAGATCGAACCGGCAGCGGTCTTCGAGAAGTCCTACAAACCCTGTTTGACTACAATCTCACAGTTGGAAGATTTGGCGTGCAAAAGGAATGACTTGGTTCTGAACATGGTGCGGAGTTCTGGTTCGCTAGAGCTTGGCGAAGCGGTCCTTAACGAAACCAAGGAGGAGGTTTCCAAGGGTTGGGCTGATGGCCCATGGCCCGTGGAATCTCTTGAGCGTGGTGCCACTGTATCGAGGCGTTTCCCGCTGTCTCAGGGAGACAAAATCCGGATGATTGATGACTACTCTGTCTTGGGAGTGAATGACAGCTGCGCGATTCATTCCAAGCTTGATCTCCATGTGGTGGACACCTTTGCGGCGACTGCAAAGTCATATTTCCGAGCTGCAGGCGATTGCAAGAAGAGTTTGGCGATGGTTGCCAAGACCTACGACTTGAAAGCTGCCTATCGCCAGGTCCCGGTGCACAAGGACCGCCTCAAACACGCTTACTTTGCAATCTTCAATCACGTGATTGGATCCTCCGAGATTTATCGTTCTAGATGCTTGCCCTGCGGGGCAACTCACAGTGTTTACAGTTTCCTCAGATTGGCCAAGATGCTCCACTGCGTTGCTTGCCGAGGTGCGAAGCTGATAACCACGAATTTCTACGATGATTTTATCTTGGCCAGTGCGGAGGATTTGCAAGACCCAGCGAGGAATTGCATGGAGCTGGTCTTTCTTTTTACCGGCTGGGATTTCGCTCGGGAAGGCAAAAAGGCGACTTCCTTTGCTCAGAATTGCAGTGCGCTCGGAGTGACTTTTGACCTTCGAGGATCATGCGATGGCACCCTTTTCATCAGGAAGTCTGAGAAGAGGGTGGCGGATCTTTTGGAGCTCATCACGCACGTCAAGCAAAGCAAAACTTTAAACAAACAAGACGCGTTGAAACTGAGAGGAAATCTTGGATTTGCAGACGGTTTTTTTTTGCATGGCCGCATCGGTGCTTTGGTCTTGAAGAGGCTTTCGCAGCACGCTTATGGCAGTTCCAGTACAATCGATCCAGAGCTTGAGTTGGCGCTTGACCTGATGGCTGCACGCCTCAACAAGGCCAAGCCCAAGTTTGTCTCTGCTACAACCGCCGATGAGTGGTGCGTCTTCTCCGATGCTTCTTTCGAGACCGACCAAAAGACAGGAGCTTTGGGCGGTGTCTTAATTGATTCAAGTTGCAAACGCAGAGCTTGGTTTTCCTTGAAGGTTTCAAAGGAGGCCGCGTTTATGTACGGAGCTGACCACAAAGACACAATCATTTACGTTCCAGCTCTTAGCTGCCTGCTTGCCACTCTCAATCTGGGCCGAGGAGCTTTCGAACTCTTTCCCAACTTTGTATTGCGACAACGACAGTGTTCGTTTCGCCTTAACCAGAGGAACTGGACAAGGTGCAGTTGCAGAGGCGATCATGCTTAGGCATTCAAACTTGGAAGTGAGCTTCAACACCAATGTGTGCTTCGCAAGGGTGCCGACAGAAGCCAATCTAGCGGATCTACCTTCTCGAGGTGTTGAACGCCCACCCCTTCCTGGTCGCCTAGATGCATCTTCACTTGCGGAGCAACACTATGCTTCATTTCGGGAAGCTGTCGAACGTAGTCGATGCGAATTGAAGAGGAAGGGGGAGGCTGGTCAATTGCATCGCCCCAAGTTCAAAAAGGTCTCATCAACTGCGCTTGCCGGAGTGTGACGATGAAGCTTTTCGCAGAAAATCGAATAGTCTGACGCAGGTAAAGCAAGATCACTTGCATGTGCAGTTTCATCCTTTACATGCAGAGCTTTTTGCTCAAGAGAGGTGGTGTGGGAGGGATTGCGCTTTAAAAGTGCTTTTGAAAGCCCAAAGCCCACCCACAAAACCACCCTGGACTTTCCTTTTTGGCCTAGCCCAACCTGAGGCTGGTCAATTGCTGACGTTTTCAATCTTGCTTGGGAGTTGCTATCCTTGTTCTTCATGTTTGGGACTGCGTTTGCACCCGCGTTCCTTCTGAAATGTCAACAGAATCTGGCATTCCAGAAAAACCACTTCAACCATGAGTAACACCTGGATAGATAAAATTTAGTAGGGGATTGTTGCTCCAATCAAAATATCGTGGATCGCCATTTTCTGGCTTATGTATCTGGGTGTGTTTTTTTATGGTCCCTCTTTGGGGCTGCTTTACACAGAGAACATGAAGGGGACTCACTGGCTGCGAATGATTCGCCAGGAGCCAGTCGCCATTAGGCCGCCGCGAGTTCCCAACTCCTGATAGGCCAGCTGATTTGAGGGCTGGCAATCTCGGTTTGTTGCAAGGCTATGAGTGGGCACACCCAGTTCCCCCCCCCACCAAGTTTCCCATGTCCCTCTTGGGAATATTAGCGACACATTTTCTGGAGCGTCCGCTGCAAGGCACCCTCGACCGTCCTTGTCAGCGCTTCCAACTGCCACTGTGGTGCGCTTCAGAACTTTGCCACGTGTTCCTATCTGATATTGTCAGCGCAGGGTTTGCTTCTTGACCTAGAAAACAAGTTCGAAAGGACAATCTCAGTGTCAGTAAAACTAATAATCTGGAGTCGTTAAGTTTTGCCTGCCATTTGGCCCTGCCATTTGGCTCCAAGCCACAGATTTTATCCACTATTTTCGCCGTCAGCCTGCACGAGCGGTGCTCAGCTCAGCCGAGCCTTTGATCAAAGTGCATGCCCTTTGCCATTGGTGTAATCAGACTCTTTATTCTCAGAGTTGTCCTCTTGCCCGTTGCCATTGGTATTCTCTTAACATTGGGCTATTCAGAGTTATCCTTGGCCGACAACAGAAACTACTGGAATTTGGAACAGATCTTGGGCCAGGCGCAGCCCAGGTTTACACGAGGAGCTGGTTCGGAGCCTTTGTAAAAAGGAACTCACACACGCGACTGGTAGCCGAGAAACTCGCACAGACAAGAAGAGAGCTTCAAGCACACGTAACAAGCCAAGCCAAGCAAGGCTAGAGAGGGAAGCTCAGAAAAAAGTAGGAGGGCGACGAAAGCCAAAAAATAGTGTGCTGTGCCGCCACACTTGAGAAACCCCCAACAAGTGAATCGATCAGCATACTCGCCACAGCCGAGTACACACACACACAGCATAGCACATGACAAGTGCAATGCTGCTTGGACACACCACGAAGAAGTATGAAGCTCTCGTATGCTAGCATCGACACACCAGTTGCTTTAAAGCGCAGCATATCTATCCTTTACGCTTGAGCTTGGTGGGGTGCGCCAGAAGTGGCTCCATTTCTCAGCTTGACCACATTGTTCGGGTGACAAGGGCTCCAGCGCACCCCCCCCACCAGCATTCCATTTCTGATCAAACCCAAGGCAGGCTTAAACCTAGTTGGGGTGGGTGTTTGCCCTACAAGGCGACAGATTCCTGGTTTTATGTCCACTGGGGTTCCCAAAACTGGGACCCTGGCGTTTAATCAATTGCGCAGCCAAGGTCATGGCTTTGCAGCCATTTTCCGGCGCTTTCGTGCTGCCGCTGCAGCCCAGCCTGGTGCTTGGAGCTCTTCGGGCTGCGGGATGTCCCAAAACGGTGCCGTTTGCGATTCACGTTTTGCGAAGGGGATCCGAAGGGGTCGAGTTTCCTTTGGTTGGGGATCCGAACGTTCCCTTTGAACAACTTGTAGGCTGTTTCTTTGGACCTGAGGTCAGAGCCGTGTGCAGCATCCTGGTGCCTTGGCGAGCGCCGAGAAGCATGCCACCAGATTTGGCTCTGTCAAGCATGATGGCAGCTGATAAGGAGTTTGGGTTGCTGTGGGCTTTTGTGAAATCCACATTCACTATGCAGCTGACTCTCAAGCAAACCGATTCAATCGTAGCCAAGTGCGTGTTGCAAGACTGAGGCGAGGCTCAGTCCTCCAAATCCAGCGGTGCGCCTATGCCAGGCATTGTCGGGATATCTGTGGGTGCTGCGCTTGCAGCCACGCGAAAAGGTAGGGGCATGCCGGGCACGGCCCAGAAGGCTTCCACACAGGAAGTGCTCTTCAAGGGAGGGGCAGGATCCGTGGACGGAGGAAGCGGCTTCTCTAGTGCCCCCGCAGCATCCTCGGCTTCAGCATCGGTGTCCACAACTCTGGGCGTGCAGGCTCCGGTCGGCTACTGGGATCCCCTCGGCCTGAACAAGAACGCCGACACGGCCACGTTCAACAGGCGCAGGGCAGTGGAGATCAAGCATGGTCGCGTGGCCATGTACGCGACCATGGGATACATCGTCCCAGAGTACTACAAATTTCCAGGCGGGGAGTTACGCGAGCTTTGCAAGTCGAGAGCATTGGCATTGCGGACATCGGGGGACATCGGGGGCCATGCGGAGAGATGTCTGTTTTATCTTGCATGTCCCATAGGATACCTGTCCCCTTCTCTGGGCTTGAAGTTTTCCGACGTCCCGAGTGGCTTGGCAGCCATCTCCAAGGTGCCCGTGCTGGCCTCAGCTGTCGGTGCTCTGAGCTTGGTATTTGAGTGCCGTGGCAGCTCCTTTCAGATGGTTCGTAAGTGCCGAGTGCTGAGTCGACTGCAAGGTGCTCGGCTGGCTGCAGATTCTGTGGTTCATTGGCCTCATTGAAGGCTCTGGCTTCTTCTCCGGCCAGTATGGCCTGGGGTTCATGAAGGACGCCACCATGAACGGCACGCCTGGCGACTATGGCGTGGGATTCCCAACCTTCGTCGGAAGGGTCTCGGACCCTACGGCGAAGTCAACGAAGTTGGCAGCCGAGCTTTCCAATGGCCGGCTGGCGATGATGGCCATCATCGGCATGTTTTTCCAAGATGGTTTCCCAGTTGCATTGGGCATGCATAAAGATAGTTTAGAAACACACGAGTTGACTGGCATGATTCCAACATGAAGCAGTGGTTTGAGAGCTGGCGATAGACACGATAGGGAGAATAGTTGTTCCAGAGTCCAGAGTTGATTGCTCGGATGCGGGCAATCAGTTTTGGTAGGGAAAACTCAGTAAAACTTATGGAGACCTTTGCACTTGCGGCTTTCACATGCTTTTCCTGCTTAGTGAGCGTGCAGGCCTGACTGGTTCTGCCTGGGGTGACTGGGCGCTGTACGCTGACTCTCCTTTGCGTGCTTCCACACAGGAAGTGCTCTTCAAGGGAGGGGCAGGATCCGTGGACGGAGGAAGCGGCTTCTCTAGTGCCCCCGCAGCATCCTCGGCTTCAGCATCGGTGTCCACAACTCTGGGCGTGCAGGCTCCGGTCGGCTACTGGGATCCCCTCGGCCTGAACAAGAACGCCGACACGGCCACGTTCAACAGGCGCAGGGCAGTGGAGATCAAGCATGGTCGCGTGGCCATGTACGCGACCATGGGATACATCGTCCCAGAGTACTACAAATTTCCAGGCGGGGAGTTACGCGAGCTTTGCAAGTCGAGAGCATTGGCATTGCGGACATCGGGGGACATCGGGGGCCATGCGGAGAGATGTCTGTTTTATCTTGCATGTCCCATAGGATACCTGTCCCCTTCTCTGGGCTTGAAGTTTTCCGACGTGCCGAGTGGCTTGGCAGCCATCTCCAAGGTGCCCGTGCTGGCCTCAGCTGTCGGTGCTCTGAGCTTGGTATTTGAGTGCCGTGGCAGCTCCTTTCAGATGGTTCGTAAGTGCCGAGTGCTGAGTCGACTGCAAGGTGCTCGGCTGGCTGCAGATTCTGTGGTTCATTGGCCTCATTGAAGGCTCTGGCTTCTTCTCCGGCCAGTATGGCCTGGGGTTCATGAAGGACGCCACCATGAACGGCACGCCTGGCGACTATGGCGTGGGATTCCCAACCTTCGTCGGAAGGGTCTCGGACCCTACGGCGAAGTCAACGAAGTTGGCAGCCGAGCTTTCCAATGGCCGGCTGGCGATGATGGCCATCATCGGCATGTTTTTCCAAGATGGTTTCCCAGTTGCATTGGGCACGCATAAAGATAGTGTAGAAACACACGAGTTGACTGGCATGATTCCAACATGAAGCAGTGGTTTGAGAGCTGGCGATAGACACGATAGGGAGAATAGTTGTTCCAGAGTTGATTGCTCGGATGCGGGCAATCAGTTTTGGTAGGGAAAACTCAGTAAAACTTATGGAGACCTTTGCACTTGCGGCTTTCACATGCTTTTCCTGCTTAGTGAGCGTGCAGGCCTGACTGGTTCTGCCTGGGGTGACTGGGCGCTGTACGCTGACTCTCCTTTGCGTGCTTCCACACAGGAAGTGCTCTTCAAGGGAGGGGCAGGATCCGTGGACGGAGGAAGCGGCTTCTCTAGTGCCCCCGCAGCATCCTCGGCTTCGGCATCGGTGTCCACAACTCTGGGCGTGCAGGCTCCGGTCGGTTACTGGGATCCCCTCGGCCTGAACAAGAACGCCGACACGGCCACGTTCAACAGGCGCAGGGCAGTGGAGATCAAGCATGGTCGCGTGGCCATGTACGCGACCATGGGATACATCGTCCCAGAGTACTACAAATTTCCAGGCGGGGAGTTACGCGAGCTTTGCAAGTCGAGAGCATTGGCATTGCGGACATCGGGGGACATCGGGGGCCATGCGGAGAGATGTCTGTTTTATCTTGCATGTCCCATAGGATACCTGTCCCCTTCTCTGGGCTTGAAGTTTTCCGACGTGCCGAGTGGCTTGGCAGCCATCTCCAAGGTGCCCGTGCTGGCCTCAGCTGTCGGTGCTCTGAGCTTGGTATTTGAGTGCCGTGGCAGCTCCTTTCAGATGGTTCGTAAGTGCCGAGTGCTGAGTCGACTGCAAGGTGCTCGGCTGGCTGCAGATTCTGTGGTTCATTGGCCTCATTGAAGGCTCTGGCTTCTTCTCCGGCCAGTATGGCCTGGGGTTCATGAAGGACGCCACCATGAACGGCACGCCTGGCGACTATGGCGTGGGATTCCCAACCTTCGTCGGAAAGGTCTCGGACCCTACGGCGAAGTCAACGAAGTTGGCAGCCGAGCTTTCCAATGGCCGGCTGGCGATGATGGCCATCATCGGCATGTTTTTCCAAGATGGTTTCCCAGTTGCATTGGGCATGCATAAAGATAGTTTAGAAACACACGAGTTGACTGGCATGATTCCAACGTGAAGCAGTGGTTTGAGAGCTGGCGATAGACACGATAGGGAGAATAGTTGTTCCAGAGTCCAGAGTTGATTGCTCGGATGCGGGCAATCAGTTTTGGTAGGGAAAACTCAGTAAAACTTATGGAGACCTTTGCACTTGCGGCTTTCACATGCTTTTCCTGCTTAGTGAGCGTGCAGGCCTGACTGGTTCTGCCTGGGGTGACTGGGCGCTGTACGCTGACTCTCCTTTGCGTGCTTCCACACAGGAAGTGCTCTTCAAGGGAGGGGCAGGATCCGTGGACGGAGGAAGCGGCTTCTCTAGTGCCCCCGCAGCATCCTCGGCTTCGGCATCGGTGTCCACAACTCTGGGCGTGCAGGCTCCGGTCGGTTACTGGGATCCCCTCGGCCTGAACAAGAACGCCGACACGGCCACGTTCAACAGGCGCAGGGCAGTGGAGATCAAGCATGGTCGCGTGGCCATGTACGCGACCATGGGATACATCGTCCCAGAGTACTACAAATTTCCAGGCGGGGAGTTACGCGAGCTTTGCAAGTCGAGAGCATTGGCATTGCGGACATCGGGGGACATCGGGGGCCATGCGGAGAGATGTCTGTTTTATCTTGCATGTCCCATAGGATACCTGTCCCCTTCTCTGGGCTTGAAGTTTTCCGACGTGCCGAGTGGCTTGGCAGCCATCTCCAAGGTGCCCGTGCTGGCCTCAGCTGTCGGTGCTCTGAGCTTGGTATTTGAGTGCCGTGGCAGCTCCTTTCAGATGGTTCGTAAGTGCCGAGTGCTGAGTCGACTGCAAGGTGCTCGGCTGGCTGCAGATTCTGTGGTTCATTGGCCTCATTGAAGGCTCTGGCTTCTTCTCCGGCCAGTATGGCCTGGGGTTCATGAAGGACGCCACCATGAACGGCACGCCTGGCGACTATGGCGTGGGATTCCCAACCTTCGTCGGAAAGGTCTTGGACCCTACGGCAAAGTCAACGAAGTTGGCAGCTGAGCTTTCCAATGGCCGGCTGGCGATGATGGCCATCATCGGCATGTTTTTCCAAGATGGTTTCCCAGTTGCATTGGGCATGCATAAAGATAGTTTAGAAACACACGAGTTGACTGGCATGATTCCAACATGAAGCAGTGGTTTGAGAGCTGGCGATAGACACGATAGGGAGAATAGTTGCTCCAGAGTCCAGAGTTGATTGCTCGGATGCGGGCAATCAGTTTTGGTAGGGAAAACTCAGTAAAACTTATGGAGACCTTTGCACTTGCGGCTTTCACATGCTTTTCCTGCTTAGTGAGCGTGCAGGCCTGACTGGTTCTGCCTGGGGTGACTGGGCGCTGTACGCTGACTCTCCTTTGCGTGCTTCCACACAGGAAGTGCTCTTCAAGGGAGGGGCAGGATCCGTGGACGGAGGAAGCGGCTTCTCTAGTGCCCCCGCAGCATCCTCGGCTTCGGCATCGGTGTCCACAACTCTGGGCGTGCAGGCTCCGGTCGGTTACTGGGATCCCCTCGGCCTGAACAAGAACGCCGACACGGCCACGTTCAACAGGCGCAGGGCAGTGGAGATCAAGCATGGTCGCGTGGCCATGTACGCGACCATGGGATACATCGTCCCAGAGTACTACAAATTTCCAGGCGGGGAGTTACGCGAGCTTTGCAAGTCGAGAGCATTGGCATTGCGGACATCGGGGGGACATCGGGGGCCATGCGGAGAGATGTCTGTTTTATCTTGCATGTCCCATAGGATACCTGTCCCCTTCTCTGGGCTTGAAGTTTTCCGACGTGCCGAGTGGCTTGGCAGCCATCTCCAAGGTGCCCGTGCTGGCCTCAGCTGTTGGTGCTCTGAGCTTGGTATTTGAGTGCCGTGGCAGCTCCTCTCAGATGGTTCGTAAGTGCCGAGTGCTGAGTCGACTGCAAGGTGCTCGGCTGGCTGCAGATTCTGTGGTTCATTGGCCTCATTGAAGGCTCTGGCTTCTTCTCCGGCCAGTATGGCCTGGGGTTCATGAAGGACGCCACCATGAACGGCACGCCTGGCGACTATGGCGTGGGATTCCCAACCTTCGTCGGAAAGGTCTCGGACCCTACGGCGAAGTCAACGAAGTTGGCAGCCGAGCTTTCCAATGGCCGGCTGGCGATGATGGCCATCATCGGCATGTTTTTCCAAGATGGTTTCCCAGTCGTAGGAGGTCAATTTTGTCAGTTTTTTCCACGCGTTATATCTTTGTCAGTTATATCATATCTTTGTTGATTTTATTCAGCGTTTTAGTCGAAGGTTTGACCGGCTCTGCGTGGGGCGACTGGTCTTTGTACGCGGAGTCTTGGCCAGGTTTTTGACATTAGTTTGAATGTGACATTTGTCAGTCTTTTGCCAAACATGGTGTTTGTCAGCTATCACATGGTGTCTCAGGACTCGCCGTTGCGGGCTTCGGAGTAGAGAACTGTGATTCGCTTTTGCAGAATGATTAATTCCGTGCAGGCCAACAGGGCAGTGGTCAGGTATAGCTTGCTTGGCGTTGAATTTTCGTAGCGGCACTCGTGGGGCATTTGCACAGGCAGTCAGTCTCTCTCCAGCTAAAGCTTGTATTTGTCTCGCCATTTTCCTCTAAAGCCAGCTGCGAAATCTTGGGCAAGTGAAAGTCGTCTGAGTCAAGATGGGATCTGGCAGATTGACTGCTCTGATGTCAGCGAATTGTCGCTCATGTTTCCTCTTGGTAGACTACCATTTTCTCGATTTCACACCACTGCAAATAGACAGATGAACCAAAGCTGCCCGCAGAAAGGATGATATTTACACGCTGACGCGACACAGCCAGCCAACGGGCACCCTGCCCTTCTGTTTTCTTCCCAAACTTTCCCTTCGTTTTCTTTCAGTTCCCTTCACTTCCCTTCATTTGCAATCCTTTTCCTTAATTTCCTTTACTTCCCTTCAGTTCCCATGATTTTTCCTCACTTCCCTATTTCACTTCAGTTGCCTCTCCTGCATTTCCCCTTCAGTTCCCTTCGCTTCCTTATTTCACTTCGTCTCTCTTCAGCTCCCTTCATCTCCCTTGATGTCCTTTCATTTCCCTTCATTTTCTTTCATTTCTTCCCCCTGCATTTCCCTTCATTTTCCCTACATCTTCCCTTCATTTCCCTGTATTTCCTTTCATGGTCCCTTCATTTGCAATCATTTCCTTGCCTTGCCTATTATTTCCAGTAATTTCCGTTAATGTCCCTTCATTTCGCACAATTGTCCTTCATCCTTCAGGTTCCTTTCATTTCTCTGCATTTCAGTTGATGTCCCTTCATGTCCTTTCATGTCCGGTCATTTCCCTTCATTTAGCTCTTCGTTTCCTTGCATTTGCCTATTTGCCTTCATTCCCCTTTGTTTGCACTCACCTACTTTCGCATCCCATCATGTCCAGCAATGCTGGGGATGCTCTCCAGCCTCCCCAAAAACGCTCATTTGTTATCTCTGTAAGGAAATGGTCAAAATCATTTGAACAAAGCCACAAATCCTTCGCCCCATAGCAGGAGCGACACGAAAACGTATGTGCATGTTCTGCGCATGGTCGGCGGCATGGGGACAGCCTTATACCTGAAGGTAGCCCTCGAGACGCTGACACGCAGCTGGCCACCGGGCACCCTGCGCTTCCCCTCGTGGAAGGCACAAAACTTTTCCCTTCCTTTCAGCTGCCTTCGCTTCCCTTCTTTTGCACTTTCCCTGAATTCCTTATCTCGCTTTAGTTCGGTGATTTCTCCTCACTTCCTTATCTCGCTTGAGTTTTCAGTTCCCCTTCCTTACCCCGCGTTTCACCTTTAAGTTCCCTTCGCTTCCCTTCCTTTCACTTTCTTGCTCCTTCGCTTCCTGCTATTTTCTGTGTATTTCTGCTCAGCCCACTTCAGTTGCAATAATTTCCTTTCATTTCCCTTCATCTCCACGCATTTCTTGTCATTTCCGTGCAATTCCCTTCAGTTTCCCTTCGCTGCCCCTTACTTCCATACCCTGTCATGTCCCTTCACATTCCTTCATGCTTCTCCATTTCCCTGCATTTCGCTTCACTTCCCTTCATGTCCGCTGCTGTCCCTTCACTTCTCCAGCCCCCTATCCATTTCCTTGCGTTTCCCTTCAGTTCCCTTCACCCACCTTATATCCTTCTGACTTCACTTCCCATCACATCCATTCACTTTGTTCCGTCGTGCCCCTTCCTATCCCAAACCCATTCGTTTTACTTCGCCACACACCTAGCATCACCCGCATTAGTTGGAATGACTGGGGTGCTGTCCAGTACCGGGCACATGGTCAAAAACCACTTGAACGCATCCACAAATCCTGTCCCGCTGCGGCGGTCGCAGCGCGTTCTGCTCATGGCCCTCATGGCCGGCGGCGTGGCGCAGACGGCCTTGTACCGGCTCGGTCACGTCTGGTGGCCGGATTACGACACAGCCGGCCACCGGGAACCATCCCCACCCACCCACCACCCAACCACCCACCCACCCACCCACCCACCCACCACCCAACCACCCACCCACCCACCCACGCACGCACGCACGCGCCCACCCACCCGCACGCACGCACCCACCCACCCACGCACCCACCCACCCACCCACCCACCCACCCACCCGCCCACCCACCCACCCACCCACCCACCCACCCACCGAACCACTCATTTTAATTATTTCGCTTGAGTCCGTTCATGCCATCTATCCAAAGTTGCCCAGTCCAAGTTGCCCGCGGGCGCTGCTAAGACATGTGCTTCTCCAGCCACTGGAAGTTTCTCTTGCTCAGGCTGCTTATCCGACGCAGAGCCAAGCCAGACAACGCTCGCAGATTGAACAACCCTCACCTCAACCAAGCATTGCGCAGTGTCGCTGTGCATTTTTTGCAAGCGCTGTTTTTGCGCGGCAGAGCGTAGCTCCGGCAGCTTTTTTTCCCCAACACAGCGTCGGCTTTCCGCAAGCAAGCGTGACTGCAGGAGGGCGCAGAGCGTAGCTCAACGCGTAGCTCAGCGCGAAAGGCATGTGGGGCGAGACTTGGCAATTGAAGGCAAGTGAAGCCAAGAAAAGAGCCGAGGGAAAAAACGCGACCAGACTCCGCATCTGTTGCGCCGCATGGCCGTGCCTAGTCCAGGCAGTGGTTTCCCGGCCGACGCAGAGTTCGTGTGTAAGCGCAAAAAGACATGTGTAGGCGGCCACAAGTGTTCGCCGCAGCGAATGTGACGAGACCGCGGGTGCCAACTCAAGCCAAGCAAGGCCAAGGGAAGCCCGGCAACACGAGCGCGTTGAACCCTGCTGAACGCTGCGCAGCGTTGCCGTGCCTTGCCCAGGCAGTGTTTGCCTAGAATCGGCTTGTTGCAAGCAAGTGTGACCGCGCGCAGAGCATATACTCATGAGGGCGCTCGAAATCAAGCCGAGTGAAGGCAAGGCAAGTCAAGGGAAGCCAACCAACACGAGGAGATTGTGCGCCCCACACGCGTTGACCATGAGTTGCAGTGTTGTCATGTTTAGGGTTGGGCGCACCGTCGTGAACCATGCAGCCGCGAGCAGATTGAACAACCCACGCCTGTGGACCTTGCGCCGCGCAGCGCTGCCGCAGGTATGAGGCCGTCCACACCTAGCGAGGACCCAGCGCAGAACTTTTGCGCTTCACCGCGCCTGCTATTGGGCGAAGGATTTGCGCATTTGTGTAGATTTTTCTGGCATCCTTCTGCGTGCCCATAGTGGACAGCATCCCCTGACGCGGGGGATGTTGTCCACCCGGTTGAAGGGGCGAGTTGCGAAATGAAAGAAATGTGGGTGAGTGAAATAAATGAAATGTGGATGGAAAAGGGAAAATTGTTGGAAAATGACAAAAAAGATAAAATTGCTGGGCAATCGTGGGGGGAGGATGCCGATGCAAAATGGATGGAACCTGTGGTGGAAAATTGATGGACGCTGGGTGGAAGGGTGATGGAATGCAACATGGATAAAAATGGATGGAAAATAGGCGGAACGTGAAAATGATAGACTGGAAGTCACATGGGTGCCTGGGTGTGTGTTCCTGGTGGCCGGCTGTGTTGCCAGCGCCTTTGCCCGCACCGCGCCAGCTTGGCGTCTGGAACCTGTGCCTCCACGACGCCGCCGCGCCGCCGAACGCAGTTGCAGTGTGTTTCTGGCGGACAGGCTGCCTTGATTGTTGCGGCGTTTGGTCCAGCCAGTGCCGCCCGCAGCCGCTCTAGCGCCTGCAAGTAGATATCCGCTGCAGCACGCAGATGTATTTTGTTAGGGCGTGGAAAGAGGCGCTGCCATCTCCTGCTGCAACTACGCCACCGGCTCGGAGCGGCCAGCCCGCGCCGCAGCCCTCCGTTTTTGGAACGGCCGGCGCCGCTTCCCAACAACAGCTCTGACAGAGAATTTTTTGCGGCGCCACGGCCGTCCCAAAAGCGGAGGTTTTCGCTAAAGCGAGTCAGACGCGGCCCAACCTGCGCCCTCTTCCCGTTCTAATGCGTGTGGGTTCAGCGCGTTAGCGTATGCGGTTCCAGCCGTTAAACAGCGCAGAGGTCTGAGCTGCGAGCTGCAACTGCTGTGAAAAGGCCCAAACACAGGCAGGTTTTGCGCAGAAAAGTGCTCCAAATAGTAGCTCCGGGTGTCTTTGGGCCCTTTTTAGAGAAGAAATTGGATATAGCAGCAACATCACCAGCATCCCCAGCAAAGCCGCTTGTGAGCCGCAAGGCCTCGCAAAAGGCACGGGCCCACAGACAGGCGTGTGTCTAACGTCGCTTTTGGATCCTATATAGACAAGAAGTTAGATAAGATATAGCAGCAACATCGCCGGCGTCGCCAGCAAAATCGCTTGTGATCGGCAAAATGGCACGCCTCAAAAAAGTTGGATCCTAAATAGAAAAATAGCAAGGCCGCTTGTGCACGAGCTGAAAAAAGGCACGCCTTGAAAGGGCCCAAAAACGGCGCTCTAAATAGGAGCCCGGCGGAAGGAAACCGGATATAGCAGCCGGATCACCGGCGTCACCAGCAAAGCTGCTTGTAAGCCAGCCGCAAGCCTCGAAAAAATAGAAATGAAATCGGATTTAGAAGCAGCATCGCCGGCGTCACCAGCAAAGCCGCTTACAAGTGAGCCGCAAGGCCTCGAAAATAGGCGCGCCTCAAAAGGGCCTAAGCACGGGCAGGGTTCGAGCCGAAAAGCGCTCCACATAGTAGCCGGGCGGGTGTCTAACGTCACTCTTGGATTTGGATCCTTTGTAGAAAAGAAGTCGGATATAGCAGCAACCTCGCCGGCATCACCAGCAAAGCCGCTCATGAACGAGCCGCAAAAAGGCCCGCCTCAAAAGGAAACAAACGCGAGTAGGTTTGAGCCGAATTGTGTTCCAAATGGTAGCACGGGTGTCTAGCTTCACTTTTAGATGCAAAATAGAAAAGAAAGCAGATATAGCGGCAACGTCGCCGGCGTCACCAGCAACGTGCTTGTAGCCGGCCTCGAAAAAAGGTGGGGAGGAATTGGAGCCGGAAAGTGGTCCAAATTGCCCGACGGTGTCACTTTTGGTTCCTATAGAGAAAAGACCTTGGACGCAGGTGAGGCGAGAATGCCCACAAGAGCTTAGATGCACTCACCCTTTCCCATGCGCCTCACCCTTGCAGACACGGGCTCGGCGGATTTCTTCACTGAGTCAACATGACATGCCTTTGTCCAGTACCGTTCCGGGTGTTGTTATTGGGGCAGGTTCAAAGGAAGACAAACAGACCACCAAGCATTCTGCGGATGTTCTCCTTGTGCTTCTACGCAGGTGGATAAGGCTCCCACGCCGCAGCCTGAGGTTTGAGTCTTGGACAAACCTCTGCCCTTTTTAACTTGGTGGCTCTTTTTGGGAGGGTCTGGTCCGGAACTACACCTTTTGAGTAATACCGCTGATGTCGGGGTTTCCAGTTGGAAGTTCTGGGAGGTGTCCTAGATCTGGCAAGGGTTGGCGCCAATCTTCAGGTTCATTTGGCAATTAGTTCCAACCGAACGCTCTTTTGAATGGTGTGTAAAGGGACACAAGCTGAGCAGATGAAAAATATGAGGGAGGCGCCTTGGATCCTCCAAGGTTTCCTAGACCAAGCTTCGCCCAGTCCTGCTCCGTGCCATCTCTTCGAGTTGAGTGGGGGGCGCAGAGGGAGGCTTCGAAAGCAGCTACACGACATTGTGAGCAAAATGTGCTTACTGGCGGCTTGGGGTGGTCAGGGATGTCAGGATTTCAGAACGTCCACAGGCAAGGAGTTTGCGGAAAGCCTTGACTTTTGGAGGGTTTTGCAGGAATTTGTCCATATTACTCTGGCTGCGATTTAGCAATGTGGAAGTTCTCACGTTGGCAAATCCGGGTATTGCAAACGCTTCGCGTTTGCCGCCCAGCGTGCAGCGTCTGTGGCTCGAAAGCAAGCGCGACTCATAGGTGCCAGTCACGCAGGGGCACTGTGTGCAAGAAGATGTTAAGGGCTGATTAATCTACTTCCAAAAGCGAACTCCCTCTTAGAAGCGCCCCTGGCTTCAAACTGATTTTGGGGAGAACTGCTGGCGTGGGCTGCTCAGGTCAAGGTCGCCGGAGCCAACGGCGACTGCCTCCTTGGCGCAGGTGGCCATGCGCTGGCAGGCGACGTTGTCTTGCGCCGAACGAGTCAAGGTGAATGTCCAACCAAGGCTTTTCGTCTGGAAAGGAGGCCACTGCGCTTCTCTACTTGTTGTCAGTCCGCCACTGCTTTTGCGCGTGGCGGCCAAAATCGGCGCAGTCATCAGCCCATTATTGACCGCGGCTCAATCGGGGCCAACAGGGTGTGCTTTGAAAGAGTTTCGGAAACACACCTCCGAGTACAACCTTGGAAAATGACCCGAACATGGCAACCAAGACAGAATTGCAACAGGATGTGTTCTCTCATGCTAGGGCTTACGGAGTAGCGCAAGTTCTCTTGGCCTTGGCTCCAACATCGCTGGTGCCAGGTGCAGCGTGAGTGCCAGGCGCAGCCTCGTGCCCCAGCGGTCCTAAAAGTGGCAGAGGCTATTCCAGGCGTGCAGCCGCCCAGCGCGCCGGGCGGCGCTACCCGTTTGGCAGACTTCAAGCCAATACTGACGGATCTCTTCGACGAAGGGGGGCAATCGAACCAATCCCCCCAGCAGCTGCAAGCCAAGATCGAGCAGCTGCAACGGCTGCAGCAGCTCCTCCAAAAGCAGCAGGAGGGGCTGAAGCGGCAGAACCAGAGGCAGAGGCAGACCCCACAAGGCTGGGTCCTCTGGCCCAAACAAAGCAGCCTACTGCTTGCCTCAGGCGCGCGCGGAGCAAGTCAGGGCAGCGAGGCCGTGCCGTTGCTTTCTTCGTCGCAAAGTCGGCCAGTCCGACCGCAGTTGCTGCAAAGGCTTTTCGGCGCTTCTCTCCAAGAGTTTATGCGTATCTTCTGTCCCTTCCCTACCACTCACTCTTTGCTCGCCGCGCAGGGCCGGCGGCGCTTCCTGGTTTAATTAAACAGCAGCTTCATTGCTGCCGTGCGTGGGACGCTGTTTGCAACGTCCAATGCAGCGGCGAATGTCAAAGCAGCTCGCACTGTCTCACAGGCCGAACAAGTGGCCGATAATTGAGACCCGGGCTTTGGGTCCTGGACTCTCGGTTCAGTCGCAACCCCAATCTCAAGTCGATCGAAATGATTGTAATGAGCCGAATCGGTTGTTTGGTTCTGAACTTCAGGTTGCGACGGCGGCTCAAAGCGCCTTTGAATCTAGCACAGTGCATGTGGAGAAGGGCCTTGTGTCACGCACGCATAAAGCGGAACCGGTGCTCGCATCATCTCTGATTTCACTGGCTGGGGGGTCTGATGTCATTTCATGATCTGAGGGTTTGATGTCATGTGACAGCTTCCTGCTTCCGTTTTTTGTTGCGGCTTGGGAAATCCAGCGCTGGCTTTACCACATGAAAGGATCAAGTTACCGCGGGAGAATGGAATGCGCTCGCTGCGACACTTTGCAGAGCAACCCTTGTCTCATGCTACCGGTGTTCTATGTGGCAACATTTTACACAAGCGCCAGTGGCTCGAAACTGTTTCACACTGCCACGTGGAAAATAGATGGGGTTCCTTTGGACCGTTTGCCTTCTTAAAGAGATCGTGTGGTGGCTGCCATGTTGGGAGAGTAGCTCCATCGCGCGCCAGGCCAAGGAACCGCCGGCTGGGCCCGGCGTGGGGCCACCTCCGCCGAACGGCCGGTGTTACGCGGATGATGTTGCTTTTACACGAAAGCCGAAAAGAAAACCGCTGGGAAAAGCTGCGCCCAATCCAAGAACCTGTGATGACAGCTGATCAGAAAGGCCAGCTGGAACTGTCTCCTCTTCTATCCGAACACCCGAGCCCAAGATGCCCAAGACTTGTCCCGGAAAACAGATCGTAGGTGAACAGATCGTAAGGCCCCCAGAAAAAAAAACCGACAGAAACCGACAGAAACCGACAGAAGCCGACAAAAACCAACAGAGTTTGAAAAAAACAACAAAACAATTTCAGGCGGCTACGGCGCCCAATTATGTACTACGAGTAATACATTGAACATTTAAGCATTAACAGCCAAAAATCAGTAACCAACCAACAACAAGCAACAAAGTAACAACAAACAACACAAACACAACACGAGCAACAACGCACCAACCAACTGTCTAATAACAGTAACGGACAACCAATCTTAAACAGACAAACTAGACTTTCCAAGACATGGAAGAAGCGACCGGGCACAGAACTTTAACGACGTGGAAAAAGCGACCAGCAAGAACCGTGACGGACAGAGATGTTCAATGACATGGAAAAAAGCGAACGTTGAGAACCGTGACGGACAGATAATTTTAACAACGTGGAAAAGCAACCAGTAAGAACCGTGACGGACAGAGATTTGCAAAGACATGGAACACGCGACCGTTGATAACCGTGACAGACAGAGAACTTTAACGACGTGGAAAAAGCGACCAGTATGTATGATGTATGTGTGAAATGTAATGTAATGTAATGTACTGTAAAGTAAGGTAAGGTAAGCTAATGTGATGTGATGTGATGTGATATAGTGGAATGTATGTATGCGTGCATATATGCAATGCATATATGCATATATGCGTGTATGTGTGTAATGTAATATAGTGCTAGGTCTCATTATTGAACATAGGTTATAAACAGGTGATGCCAGAGTGCCGCCGAGCAAATGGGCGACGCCGAAGCCTATTAATGGACATGGACTGTCCGCGCGCAAGAAAGACACACGTGCAATACTCATACCCTGTTTTAGCGGCGGATGTTTTATTCCATGTGTAAATTTCACGCACCTGATTCACGGGCAGAAATTGTGAGGCTTCTAGGCTACGAGCATTTGCTTATGGCTTTCCCGTATCTGATGTTGTAAAATAGTTGTGCACCGAGACGTGGTCTAGCTTTCACGACTTTCACGGTCGCTTGACTTTCTAGCCAACAAAGGTTTACGCTGCAACCTCGAACTTGCCTGTTTCCCTACAACGCTGATTGGTGAGGTTGTCAGAGGAGTCATACTATTCGTAATGTGTGTGTTCATAGCTCAGCTTGGACTTGTCACTTTTGAACAGCCCGGGTCAACACAGGCAGTATATCGGTAGATGCTTAGCTTGTGCGAAATTGGCGGAACTACATGACTGGTTAAAGTACCGAAGGCGTTTAGATTCCAGAAGGCTCAGGAGACGTAGACCAACTATGACCAAATCTTGAAACAGAGGCTGTGCAATTCGCAACTGGATCAAAAGGTCAAATTGGGGACCACTCCCAGGCGCGAGCCATAATACGGGTCACTATCAAGCATGTATCATACTTGCCGCTCTGGGCTCTGCTTCAAAAACACATGCTTCGTCGCGTTAGATAGTTTTGCTTTGCCAAGATAAACTAAGTCGAAGTAGACTCTTCCCGAAAGCAAGTCCGCCGACCCCTTGTCTGAACCATCATCATCATCGTCGTCATCGTCGTCATCCTCATCATCATCATCATCACGCCAAGGCGTCGCTCGGCTCCAGTGGCGATTCAAGGGATGCTACTATGATAGTTATCCAGGCGCCGCTAGACATGCAGAGGATGTTGCGATGATAGTTGTGATGACGCGGATGATCGCCATCATCTTCCTCATAGCCCTCATCGTCATCATCATCACCGTTGTCATCATCATCATCGTCATCATCATCCACTGTTGGAGACGCAGGGGATGCTGCGATGATACTTCTCATCGTCATCGCTGGAGATGCAGTGGGTGCTACGATGATGCTTTTCATCATGTTCCTAGTCATCATCGTCATCATGACCGTTAGGTGCTACGATGATACTTGTTATCGTCATCGTTGGAGATGCAGCGGATGCTCATCATCATCACCACCGTTAGATGCATCATCATCATCATCATCACCGTTATCATCATCATCATCATCATCATCATCATCATCATCATCATCATCCTTTCTTTACTTCTTATTTTCCGGGCCTGCCGCCTCTAGCCGGCTACGCCCCTTTGAAGTTATACCATATCATGTCATGTTTTTGTATGAGAAACGTATCCTGTGCTATGATATGGCTGGTTAGGTTATGCATGTTGCCCACCCCAACCCCAGATCATGCCGGGGATGCCAGCTTTCTGGGCCCTAGCCGGGACCCAAACCAGAAGGCTGACATGGGGTCGCGCGCGCGCGCGCCAAAGGCCGCAGAAACAGCAGCCCAAAAAGAACAGCCCGCAAGCCAGCCCGGAAACGCAAAAGCAACAACGCACCGTAAGTAGCAGCGTTTTGTGGCTGGGGTCGCGCGCGCGCGCCAGAAGGCCCGAAAACCAACGTGAAAAAAGCAAGGACCGCGCAGCACGACAAAAGTAAAACGGACAGAACAACAGCCCACCGCTCAGCACAGCAGTTTTTGGCGGTATTTACAGCGTTTTGTACAGCGAGGACCCAGCATCGCCGGCATGCCCGGCAGCGCTTGGCGCCAAAATGCGCAAAAATGAGCCTCGCTTATATCCCTCCGATACCTTCTAAAAAACAGTGCTTCATGGGTTGAGAGAATTTTTGGAAGGAAGTCTTGATGATGCAGACCAAGCCCCGCGGAAGCATCACCCAGGCACAACCCCAGACCCTGATGATGTCAGCCACATGGCCTAAACCCTGCATATACGCGATTCTGCGAGGGTTTCCAGCAGGCAAGCAAAACCGCAAGCCCGAGCTGGTGATGCAGAGTGCCGGATTTAGGCCACGCATCACGACCAAGTGACGAGGGTGGGCGGCACCAGGGTGCAGCCCCTATAGCTAGAGCTAGCAGGCTAATTGCCTAGCGGCGACATGCTACCCTAGGAGGCGTAGCCGGATTTACGGGCTGCCGCCCAGTGCCACCGCCCCGCAGGGTCACTGTCCTGTGTGTTGGCCTTGAGGTAGACCCCGAAATCTGTGAATTCTTTGGCCGGCTTTGGTAGGCTCTTGTTTCCTTTTGGGGCAGCGTTCCTTTGCCTTTTTTAGACTTTCCGGTATGTCGGCCTCTGAGGCAGACTGCGGGGTCTGCAGATATTCGCTGCCTTTTGGTATTGGTTCTTTTATTTTGTTGGGGGACTTGCCTGTATACTGGTCTCTTAAGTAGACCTCGGGGTTTGCGGACTTGTTTTCTTTTTTGGGGGGACTTCCCTCCATGCTGGTTTATGAAGTAGATTCTGGGGTCTGCGGATGCTGGGGCTGTGTTTGGTAGTGCTGCTTTTTTTGGGGGGACTTTCCTGCATGTTGGTTTGTGAGGGTCTGCGGATACTCGGGCTGCCTTTGGTAGTACTTTCCTGTATGTCCGTCTGTGAGGTAGACCCCGGTCTGTGGACGCTCGGGCTGCTGTTGGCAGTGTTTCTTTTTCTTGGGGGGGCTGTCTTGTATGTTGGTTTGTGTGGTAGATTTTGGGGTCTGTGGATACCCGGGCTGGGACGCGCTGGCTCATGGCCAGCCGTTTTTGTCGGTCTGAGAGTTTCAGTGGGAGGCCGTGCCCTCAATCGTCCCCAGCAGAAAGTTATTGGGTTGAAAGGCCCAAATAAATAGGCGCTGGGGTGGTTTGGAGGGTTCATTCTGTTTCCCGAAAAACTGGTCGGAAAACTCTTTGTTTAGAAAACCCTATCTAAAGGCTGCTGCTTTGAGTGGGGTGATGTTGAAACGGCGAAGAGAAATTCAGACATCCAACCACAAAGTCAGAGACCCAGATGTCAGACATCGCCGCGCAAAGACTCAGACATCACAGCACGAAGAGTCAGACATCGCAGCACGGAGAGTCAGACATCATGGCCGCCAACACCCGCCGACCGCCGTGCGTCAAGATCGCAACTCGCCACCCGACACCATGTCTGTTAGCTTGCCTTTTTGTGTGACTGCTTGGCTGCTTTTCTTTCTCCTGCCTGGCGCCTGTCTGCGCGCCTGTTTTTTTGCTTGCTTGTCTGTTTGCAGGTCTTCTTGTTCTGCTCGTCTGCTCGCCTGT